CCCTGCCCTGCCCTGCCCTCCCCCTGCCCCCTGCCCCCTGCCCCCACCCCCTTCAGGAACAAGATAGTTTTTTTTTTTAATGAAAAAGTTTTCTTGATCCTCGGAAGATAGTTTTTTTGATTCCGACATAGTTTTCTTTGATCCCTCACCCTTTGCATGGGTGCATGGGCAATTCTGAATTAAAGCAAGGACGCTTTTCGGCAGGCCACTCAGTCGTACGTTGTCCGTCAGGGGCATGACAACTCCATGGGATTTGGAGTGGAGCTACAAAATGGTGCAGGCAGAGAGACTGCTTCAAGAACAGCCGATATGCAAACATGATGAGGTGCCCAAAAGATCCTGAAGCTGGAACAAATGCGGAGGCATATACGCAGCTTGAGGATTGCACTAGAATGCCAGTGGATGCATACCCGAAGCTGGATGAAGCAGGCTGTGTGCTATAATGGTTCCAGGGCAAAACTTGAATCCATATGATCCACATGATACAGCCCTGCTTGTGCATGTAATGTAAATTTACTTCGTGCTGTACTGGGAGTGTGAAAGGGATTGCACGGGAATTAAGGTAGGCAAATTAGTCGTGGTTGCAGGGGATCGTCTGCTTGTAACGTTCATTTGAGGAAGTTCACTGGGTACCGTGTGTTGTTTTAAGTTATGTTGTGAATATAGCTCCGGTTCTGGCACTGGCACTTGAAGTTTCACAGTGGGAATCTGGAGGATTCCAGGGGCCGTGCAAGTACTTGGGCACCACCGCCCTTTATAAACAACCAACTGCTTTAGGCTGCTTAGATAAACCTGAACACCCGGGGGCACGACCCTCTTTGTAGTCATGGAGATCGAAAGCTAGGTACAATTTGTCGCATGTTTTGATTTCTGTGGGAAGGAAGCCTGCCCCTTCGCATATAGGTTCTTATGTATGCGGGAATGTGTCGTGGCAGAGCTTGATTAATCTGTGATAATGTGTGCTTCTTGTCAGCAGCAAACCTCGAACCACATGCTTGGCTTGGATTGTCCGAATATGAACGCCAAAGTCTCACAAAGATTCAGGGTTTGATCTTATCTACAGAGTAAGAAGCAAAAGAACGCCTGGCCATCAAACAAACATCATAAGCAAGATTCCTTTGCCCGCCAAGAAATACACGAGCACGACCATCGTGGTCGTGCAATACGTTATCTCATTTTTCTTCCCTTGGCCTCTGAACAACGGTGCGAGCACCTCTATATGTCTTTAAACTTTGGAAGGCTGCGCAAAAATGCCGGTACGTCTTGAGTTCAGCGTATCGGAAATACAACCATGATGTTGTTCGGTGAGGAGAACATGAGTAACTGAAGAATTTGGTTGTTTATGTATGTACTTTTAGAATTGGCACCGTGCGCCGTTATGTTTTAATATATAATGAGGAAGCCTTCCTGTGCCTTCCTGCCTGTTAACAAAGAGGAGCTCCTTTGTTTCTCAGTAGTAGCAAGAAGCCAAAGGGCCGTTTCCAGCCATGAGCAGAAATAAAGAAACTCCTTCATCTCTGTTTCAGCAATGACGGAAGTCCTTATAGGTTGAGCAAGAAGCACTTAGAAGAAACTTAGGGGTTCGAAAGTGTCTATAACGTTGAAGCTTGCACACATATGGTGTAGTCCCAGTTTGGTCGGGCTCACAACGGGACCACACGTAAGACTACGAAGAAGAAGAATACCATTACTCGCAGCATTTTTATACATGTTTATACGGCTGTTAGTCATCGTCACATATATAGATAGATAGATAGATAGATAGATAGATAGATAGATAGATAGATGTTGTTCATCTACGTCCAGCCCAAATGCCGCTTGTCTTCAATTATCCCCAAATTTTTCCATATCGGGAAGTGCGAAACCCTCCGAAGGGATCAACAACTCTTCAAATTCCCGATATCTTTGCATTTGCAAGGCCATCGGTTTTCAGTTGTGAAGAACTTGGGAAGTTTTGTGAAATTTGATCCCTGCTGATACTTTCGAATTTGAGGTTGCCCAACTGTCAATTCGCCAAAATTCCGAAAGACTCAAAAGCGAAAACAGCAGCGGGGAGCAAGTTTCCCAACAAAATCCCCAAATCCTGGCATCTACGGAGAATTGTGCGCCTTGTTTCCCGGGTTTGCCGATTACAGCTCGACAAATTACTGCTGATCAATCAGTAGTTCGTCGATGCTCCTGTCAACAGTCCAAATAGGACTACAGCACAGCGTCGCACAGAATATGTCTGCATGCACCTGCACGGAACTTGAACTTATTCGACGATGCATCTTTTACGGACCACGTCGCATCTCGCACGGCTTCGCGAGTTCATATTGAAATAGTGTCGACGCATGGAGCTAAAACCCGCCGTGCTTGTTTTGTTTAGTGGAACAAGGTCCTCATGAAGCTCGGTGCAGCCGTGGTTGCGACAGACTTGCCAGAGCTATTGCCTCACATGGAATACAACTTGAAGCTGAATGATGAAGGCCTGGGAGTTTGAGTGAACAATGTCTTTCCAAACCGTCTGCACCGCTTGTGATTCTGCCAATCGAGACTTGATCCATGAGGTGGGTCTGCTCTCGGGAGATGGGCTGTGGATTCGCTGAACTGGGACAGCGCAGAGGCTCCAGCATGCGTACTCAGCATTTGCGAAGCGATTCTTCTTGACCAGGCTCGCGTCAAGCTCAGAGGAAGACTGGGAAACAATGGTGCCGATGCCATATTCGCAACGAATTGCTGCTCCGCAGCAACGACAAGAAATTAAGCTGCCCGCCTCACTCTGACACTCAGTTGCTGCAGTTCTTAAGGTGTTTATGGTCGGGACACAGTGGACATGTTCCTTTCCACCATGTTTGTCCGGACCTGGGCTAGTATCTGGATTCGACGGCAGCCAGATCAGGCTAGAGGGGTCTGCTGAGCGCTGACGGACAGGCTCTGTCTGGCCCGCGCACACTGGCATTGATGTGCGGTGTGCCCGTGCCGCCAGCAGCACTTGCGCCTGAAGAAGCTAGGCTCAGCTTGGTGAGGGTTTTGTTTTTCTGTTTTGCCGAGTGTTCGCAGAAGCGATGATGGCGGTAGAGGGGCCGGTTAGCCGGCTCATCCAAATACCGTGCTGGATGGCAAACCATGGCAGAAATGCTGGATAGATGGCACTCATGTGGGATTTGGAACACTGACTCCTTGCAAGGCATAAGCAGGACAATCCTTTCGTGGAAAGCGCACGCCTTCGGCATGAACGGATCAGTTGCGGGGTTATCGCACGTTACTGCATCTCAACTGTGTTGCATCGATCCTTGTCCAGCCGCCCGCCATCAGTGCCATCATTGTCTTCATCATCGTCATCACCATCATCATTACCATCATCATCATCATCACCATCATCATCACCATCAGCATCATCATCATCATCACCATCACCATCATTATCATCATCATCGCCATCACCATCATTGCCATCACCATCATCATCACCATCGCCATCATCATCATCATCATCACTGCCGTCATCACTGAATCACCATCATCATTAGCAGCATCAGCATCATCATCATTGTTCATGATCAGCATGACCACTGTCATGTGCAGTTTCCAAACGGCCTCTCGTTTTGTAACCATACCCAGAAACATGATCATGATAATTACTGCCATGAGTATCATCAACATGTTCAGATGGAGCGAATTCCAGATACCGCTGCAAAGTTAGCAGAAGACATCGTAGCATAAGACCTCGAATCGCCAACAAGTTCTCTCTGAAGCTCGCGGAGCGGAGCCGGAGTTCAGTCTGATTTCGTATTTAGTACTGTAGTTAGCAGTGCTGCAGACCAGGGTTGGTTGTGTCAGCAGGGCAGGGCAGGGTCAGGGGGGAGCGGACAGAACAAATCACTGCCCATGGGAGGGGTACATTGACGGGTTCGGGGAAGTTCATGAGCCGGGTTTGGAGGGCGCCGCTGTTCAAATTGATGCATTCAAAAACCCGTGACATTGAGAGAGGCTATTGGCTTCGGCTGCGTGTGCGATTGTTCTTGTTCATGCTTATCGAAGGTGCCATGAAGTAGCGGCATGCATATACTTGGCCGGTGGCAATGTCCATCCTAAGTCTGCATTCGGGAGACACATCCATGGCTGGATATGCCTGGCATGGCAATATGTGCATCCATTCCGACCGCATCCGTTGGGGACTTGCATCCATGCCTAACCATAGGAAGACTAGCAGCGTCCATTTCTAGCCAGTAGCAATTGACGTCTCGTCTATCTCAACCCCATCCGCTTTTGCCTCTATGCCTGACCAGTGGCACCGTCCATCGCAACTATGCCGTGTTTCGGAATGTCTGGTTCTCACCTGCTCACCACCCCTTGGCGCAGAGCATGTAGAGACCTTGCACCCGCACTGGTGAGGCATGTTCTCATTGGTGGGTAGAAGTGTACCCGACTGGCATCGACTGGCCCGAGAACAGGACTTGATAATTTGATAAATCTCCGGCACCTGGGGCAACATCCAACCGAGCATGTATAGCCGACCCTCCGGGTTCAGCCCGCGCGCCGGTTCTCGCTGCTCATCCATTGCGACTCCTTGCGGAACTCAAAGACCGAGTCATCCACTGTCAACATTGCCATAGTTTCCTGCTGCAACTGCTGCCGTACCGTCTGAAAGGACTGGACTGCTACTGGACCCATTTTAGTCTGCGACATGGCACAGCCGTGCGGTCGTGTAGCCCGACGGAACAAACTATGCACGTGCTTGCATGCAGCTTGCAGCCATTTGCAGCCAGAATGCCTTGGCGGGAAATTGCAGGTTGGAATTGCCGACAACGGAGCGAACATATCAACATAAGGGAGCTCAGGGTCAGAGCACTGTGGCATCTGTACGCTGGCGTTTGTTCCGCAGACGTGACAAAGCATCCCGAGCACTCCATCTCGTGGACAACGTTGTAGTTCTCCATGTTGGTCTCGTGGTCACTCGTCCAGCGGCGATGCACAGCGAGTGCTAAACAAGTTGAATGCGCTGCTGTTAACTTCTGGTCTTCACCTTGTGGTTGCGTGAATAGACGGTGCAAGACGCACAGCCGAGCATGCAGAACATGTGCCATACTCGCTCCGAAAACTTGGAGTGTGCTGGTGGAACCTTGCAAAGGTCCTCCGTGGCCGGAACATTTGGTGCAAGCGTCGGCTGGATATTGGCTGTTCTTCATGAGGATCACCTCATGGAATTGTCCATGCTCCTGGATTTCTATGGCGTCTTGCGGACGGGGGAGGTCTTGTCTTTTCAGGCTTCGGATTTTCAAATGACTTCCAAAAAGCTCTGCGCTGGTCTTGTTTCTTCGCAGTACAAGAACAGGCAAGCGAAGTGGACAGTCGACATGTCGAGTCAGTCACGAATATTCGGGTCGCCGACGTCGCTCGTGGGGTTTGCCGACTGGATTCGCATAGCCTCTCCCTCAACTCGTCCTATTTTTGTCTCCCACAGACTTGGAGAAACAGTTACGGGATCATGAGTTTCGACCTTACGGATTGCGCCGAGGTGGGACTACATTTAGGTTTGCAAAAGGGTGGAGAAGACAGCCCGAATGTATATACTTGGACAACTCCGTCCCTTCGCTCACGTAAGCGTTCCAGCTTTTTGCGCAGGGCTTTCGACTTGAGCATGCCTTCATCCGGTAGACGGGAGAAAGTGGAAAATCGAGGGGAAGTGAATATCGATTTTGTTGAGAGAACTATTTTCGCAGTTTCAGCCTTCTTGCTCACAGTGGGCTTTTGTCATATACAGATGCTCTCACCACCGGACCGATGCTAGCACGAACTGCTAGGCCTTTGGAAACCCAGCTTGCACGAGTGACCTTGTAGCTTTGTTCTTGTGCTCGGAATACTGCAGGGTGTTAAGACTCACATGTCTGGTCACAGCCAAGGAAGTTAGCATCTTGGATGAATTTCTCGCGGCATGTCCACGTTTCTTTGACTGTTACTTGTTCCTTGGCAGCAGGGCAGCAGGTCCTTGTGCACCTGAACAGCGTGCAGTCAAGCGGGTGGCATCCCAGACTGCAGGCTGAAGGTTCCTGGCGGCATCGAGAACGCCGGTGTTGCCAGAGTGCAAGACTCTCCGCTGGCTGCTGAGCTCGGCAAGCCCTACGGACTTTCTGCGGCAGCTGCCCAGCTGATCACAGTGTCGGTTGGGTCTGTGGGAGAAGCGATGTAACATGGCAAGACCTCGGTCCGCGCGTGTTTGGCCGGCTGAGGCTTTGGCAGACGGAGTTTGGCTCTTCAAGTTGCCAGGGTCGGACTGCCCGTCCTGGGCGAGGTGTGTGCATGCCGCTTCGGCTAGGCAGGGCAACTTGCGCCCCGCAGGCCCGTACTATGTCTTGGCTCTGGCACCACGCTGCAGGCAAACTTGCGGCTGTTGCAGGGCATGTGCTGGCATTCCCACATTCAGCTCATGACTGAGGCTACAGCGGAAAGTGATTTCGGGGCTTCACCCGCGCTAGGGAAAATGCGAGCAGATCTTTCGACGCAGAGTGCAACTGCATTGGCTTGTGCTGGCGAAACCACGAAGCATCTCTGACATAGTCTGCGCGACCCAGGCGGAAGTTTGATGTCCCTGGATTCGTTGCAACTCAAACGCATTTGTGACTGAACTGTTGCCTCGGCTCTTGTTTCTTTCTGCGTGCGCGACCAGATGACGTAAAGCAGTTGCCCGACATCTTGTCACGGTGTTACGGCTGGCATGTAGCAGGTCATCATTTAAAAGATCCCAGTCAGATTTGAAAACCCTAAGCATAAGAAGAGCTTGGGCAGCAGAAGCCTTGTCAACTTGTGGATCTCCTTTGTACTCTCTAAGGCGAAGTATCCAGGGGCAGTGCCCCCGGGAGCAGGAAGCTTAGCGAAGCGGAGGGTGGTTTTTTTGGGGGCATGAGCACGGCCTTGCGGAGCCAGGCAGAAGTGGCACCTGCGCCCAAGAAGAGAAAGGCAAAATCAAAAGCCAAGGGCACGACTGGCTAACAAAAAGGTGTGCGCACATTTTTCGTCAAGACGGGTTGGGACTTGGGCGACTTGAGACTTGAACTCAACTCGGGACGAGGCTGATGTATTTTGACAAGGCGCTTATAGGCCTGATCCAGCGAAGCATGCATCTTGAAAGCACCTTTTGAGCGTGCGGCATGCCGGGCTCGAAGGGCAACTCTTCTATTCCATGGCTCCTTCGTAACAGCGGCATTTTGGAGCAGATCAGGTTCTGAATCCTTTACCAGAGGACTTGTGACAGGAACAGAGAACAGCGATTGGGGAGCATAGTCTCCCGCCTGGATAATGCAGGCTCGGCTGCATGATCACTTCGCGCAGTCGTTGTGACAAGTTTCGGGCATGGTGCTAGACCGTATTTGGCACGCTACTTGAGGGCAAGGCGACAAGAAGACCAAGCGCGCGAGCTGGTCAAGCACCATGATAATCCGCGGTCTCGGTTCAGTTACTACTGTATAGGATCCTGCAGCACACCCGGAAAAGGTTTCTGCATTAGTGGCCAAAGGTGCGACCGCCAAGGTTTTGGTCTGACCGAAAATCCACATCGCTGTCGAGCTTATTGTCTCAACCCTGGCAGACTATCAGTTGCTGAGCTTGGGAAGATAATTAGATGAAATCAAAGATGTTTGGATGTCTATTTCGTTCTATTTCTCGTTTTTCGGAAGGCTTAAGGCGTTAGGTCTCAGACGTAACTCTAGGAAAAAATGAGTTCTAGAATCTCGACGGTACGAATTTTCATTGTGCGCTCACGAACTACGTGGTAGTGTTTGTTTGGTGCAGTAGTCAGTAGTCTGGAGGGCTCGCACAAAGCGGAGGAAGAACCGCAGAGAGGTAACTGGCAGCACTGTGTGGAAAACACATCTCTGTGGAGGATATTCCCGATCGAACCAAAAAGGCCGTGTTGCACAGTTTTTGAGCCATGGACTTCCTCACACAATCCCAAACACACTCCCGTTTGAAGCTTGCCCTGGACTGGGCAGTGATTGGGACTCGGCTGCAGCAAGAACGGCACGCCTGGTGTCGACGACGGCCGCTGTGGCATGGACATCCCTTCACAAGAACTGACGGGGACTTGAACCCAAACCAACCAGTGGTAATGCGCGGGGGGACTCGCACCCCAGTCAGTTGAGTACACAGGGAATCGAACCCCAATCCAGCCTCCTCCTCACTAATGGTGTGGGTGGCACCGCCGGGGATATTTGTAGCCAGGTCACTTCCCGCCGCCGCAGCGGCCCCTCCGCGGGGGGTCAAGGCGTCATCTCGAAGATGTATGCTTGGGATTGATTGGTTGGGATGCGCACATCTCCTCATCGAAGATGTCACACGACACAAGAAGCTTGCATAGCAAATTCGCACAGAAAGACGGAAAGTCTGTCCACCGCATCCGTGCCAAAGCACTGGAACACAGATATGCAAATGAAAGATGCTCATCTTCCACATGGTCAGTGCTGTGACATGCCTCAGCCGTGTGCTTGCATCGTTGCTCATCACACTGGACCCCTTGAGCGCATGCCTGCACTGCACGGCATCGCGACTCACGCACTTGCGAAACCACGCGGCATCTGCCGACAGTACCATCGTGTGAGATCTTGACACTGTGCAAGGATGCGATTCGGACCAGTCCGTTTGATGACGCCTTGCGAGACATGGGCACTTTCTAAGTGTCCTGTGTTGCCAACCCACATCATGCTATACATTTCTGCATATCCCAGGCTGAAGCAAAGCCAGCACGGCATGCCTAGACCAAGTGCAAAAACCATCGACAATGAGGCTTCCAGTATGACCAAGGACAATGGATCTCAGATTCCTCGCCCGCACAGTTGGTTTGCCTCGCGATCCGCTTCGGACAGCACGAGCAAAACGTGTCACGTGATCTTTGGGCGCAGCCCCGCGCCATCAAACCCGCGAAGCAACATGCACTAGAGTCTAGTCACTAGAGAAACTTTCTGTTGCACAAGAAGACACATGTAAGCGCTTGGCCCTCCTCTCCCCTTCATCCAATCTTGCCGTGGCCAGACACTCTCGCACTGCAGCCGCGGCACAGAGATCTGCGCCCCAATACTTTCTTGCACGGAGGCAGGCATGTCGATCAAGCGGTTAAGCCTGCTAAGCCTTTCCTTGAAGGCGTCCTGTCTACCAATTCCACCGCCGATCGCTTTGACTGGGCGTCCATTGCGCAGAATGCCGCGGAGACAGATAACTCCCAGCATGCTGTGTCGAGTCGTACATCGCCATAGCTTTCACCCAGCAAGAGGCATTGGTTCCGAGTTTCCAACATGCGGATCACGCGCTTTGGCCGGCTTTTGCAGGCAGCGTCTGGGCAAGAAACCCGATCTCCTGCTGCACGACATGTTGCTCAGCAACATGATTCTGTCGTTTTGATCCCACCGGAGCTCGATCCGAATTCCTGTCCCAATTCGAGAGGCTCGAAATGGCTCGAAGCTACCCCGGCCAGCATGGCCTGCTCGGGCTCCGCGAACTCGGATTTCCAGATTCAGCTGGGGCGGCAGCAATGAACAGTCCGCCATCAGCACGTCTCACTTCCGCCGCGGCACCGCGGGCAGCACCAAGCTCCTAGTCCACGGGGAGGCCTCTCGATCTGACGACCTACCCGCCAGTCGCCGTTCTTCAGCAGGCTGTACATGAAGCAGCTCCGGCCGTCTCTACGCGCTGCCAGTTGGCGAAGAGCTGCACGCGCTCCATGAAGCACGAGGGGTCGGGCGAGCCGCGGAGCATGTCTAGGGAGGCGTCCATGTTCCAGAAGGTGAATGCCAGCTTGTCTGACTCGGGGTCGTCCATTCCCGGTGTGACCGGATGCGAGGTGGCGGGCGCCTGTCGCCGTCAGCCCCGCTGCTGTCCGACGAGACTGGAATAGGCACGGGATTCGCTGCTGCCGCGGCCTCCTTGCGGGGCGAGCCCGGATCTGGGGCAGCGGCTGATTGCGGGGCTCGCTCTCCGAATTCTCCGAGTCCGTGTCGATTCTGAAGAGCGCAGTAGTAGTCGACCGCGCCGCTCTCCACAAGACAGGTCAGTGCAAGCAAGTGGAGGCTCCATAAATCCCAGCTGCTGGACGGAGATTGTATAGCCCTCAGGCAGCTTGATTCCAGGTCCCAGCTTCTGTCTCGAACAGCAGGGCTGCAAAACTAAGCGTTGCTGTTTGTTGTCTTGTCGGGCTGCGCATGAAGTCTTGCAGGCAATGCTGGACTATGCGAAGTATTGTTTGCTTCAGACGGGACTTCATGGTCAAAAGTTGCTCTTCATGGATTGGACGTCGCAGGTTGGCCCTCCGCCGCCCGAACGATGTCGGAAGAATCATAGCGCAAGCTTGCTGAAAGGTCGATCACAGACAACACAGTCGCATGTGTCCGCTGTTTGGCAGTCCATTGTGCAGACTAGCTTTCGAGTGCTCCTGCCTGGCCATTTCCAGATTTGCCAAAGAAATCATCAATACCGTTCACACTCCTGGGTGCCCTTTGTTTGCCAAAGTTCGTGGATTCTTGTTGGTCCAGACAAGTTCTGGATTCGATAATACAAACGGAGACAAGAGGAAAGGTCTGGATACGTGAAAACGATTCTGCGGCGTGCGGCTGGATACTCATTGTGACCTTGGCGCTTAAGACGGAAGTTGGAACCCTTGCAGGGCTGGTGACGACGCGCTATGTAGCGAAGACTGGGCAGACGATGGGGAGCTTTCCTCTTTCGGCAGAGAACCGGGCCGAGCCCGAACGAGGGCCAGAGATGCTACAGGATATGCTCGGCGATACCTTCCTGCCAGGAGAATACCAGAACATTCCACAATTCGCTAGCACCGCCTCTGCCACCTCAGACCTAGATGCCTAAGACCATTAGGGATTTAGCATAACACCTTGACACACCCTTGACTTGTTCTAAATCGCACTGCGCTGGAGCTCGCTCTTGCCCGAAACCCCCCAATCATAACCCGTCTCCGGTGAATCGGCCACGGCAGGCACGCTCTTCCCGGTCAGCCAGGCGCGTCTCCAGCCGAAATCAGCCGAAGCATCGCTCGTGGAGCCTGGGTACAGCATGCCTTCCAGCAGCACAGGCCACTGCCGCACACGGATGATAGATTGGCTGCGGACCTGCTATTGGCGCCAGAGCCCGAGGCAAGTAGCCGGCCTGAGCAGTACTTAGCATTGCTGAGGCAGAAGTTGCAAGAGGAGGAAGACGCGCAGGGCATGTTGAGCCAACCGAAACCGAAACCATATGAGAGAACGCAGAAAGGCACGGCCAGTGCTGCAGCCAGAGCCATGCTACCTCGGATCCTTGGCACTGCCAGGGCGTGGGCCAGTAGCGCAGACGGAAGATACATTGGCGGCAGACCTGCTTCTCGCGCCAAAGCCTTGGCAATATCTCGCATAGCCAGCGAAGACCGGCAGCTTAGGCAGATGTTGCAAGAGGAGGAGGATGCACAGGGCATGTTGAGCCAGCCGAATCCGAGTCAAAAAACGAAGCAGAAAGGCGCGGCCAGGGTCGCAAGAGGCCTCGCAAGATCCTTGAAAGATCCGAAGCATGCTGTGAGTCAGGGAAACGGCAATACAAGCCTCTCAACATCAGCTACGTCCTAGACTCAGATTTATGCTCGCACATGGCGTCAGCCTGAGTTCTGAGCCTTGCTGCAATTGCTGCAAGTCTCAGGTTGTCGCGCAGACGGGCGCAAGCCCCGGGCAGCCCAGGGAGAGACTAAATGGTCGAACTTCCGTGTCTGACTTGGTTGCCAAGGTGCGCAGCAGCCAGCTTTGGGCACCGCAGCCCCGTCCAGCCTAGCAGACATCCTCCGGAACCGGCGTTCCCAGGCTCCAAAGCGAACCAGTCTGCTATTTGCAAGCACTGGTGCCACAGGAGCAGCGGGCCCCCAACTTTGCAGCAGACTTCGGAGCGGCGCCGCGGCCGTCAGCCTTGCATGAGCCTCGGCGCGAGCTCGGCCTAAACGAGCTGGACATGAGCAGCGAGGTCTGCTTCTAGTGCTGCGTTTTGAGGTCGGACAGCAACGGTCTGACCTGGGCAGTGGCCCCAAGTTGTCCCTCATTCACGACCGTGACGGCTTTTCTGATGCATGTCGTGACAGATTGACAGAGGTTTTCGGTTTGCTCCTGGTTGTCTCAGGCCGAAAGAGCGCAGTTGGCACAGCAAAAACCCGATGCAACGGCGCGCCTGTGGTTATTTTCAAAGTCCGTCAGCGTTGCCGTTTGATCCTCGAGCAACCTTTGTCTCTGTATGTGCTTTCCCTTCTGTATTTCTCTCTTGTCAGGCGCCCATCCTGAACCCAACTGCGGCCTTTGGTCCGCGGCACACAACCTTGGTGAAGCTCAAAATATCTACTGCGCAAGGCTTTCTAGCACTCTGCTGGCTCGGCCTGCTTTCGGCTTGCTCTGGTCACAGGTGCTGAGCATTTCTTGGAGGTGGATCTTGAGGAGACTGTGAAGCGCTGAATTCAGAACAGAATAGAACAGATGAAGCCGTGATGAAGCCTTGGAAGAGGGTATGATTCCCATCCCAAGGCAGGCGAGGTGAAGACTCGCCTGGAGCCAGGGCCCCAAGATTCATCAGGTCTCCAGATGCTGCGCAACCGTTCTTGGACCATGGCCAAAAGGAAGATGCTTGGCCTTGCAACAGCTTCGCAGCGGCTGCTGCACATGGGTCGGGAGCTGCAGGGCCCTGAGATGAAGGTAATCAGGTGTCCGAGGACATGCAGGCCATGCGGTGACCATGCAACCTTTCAGGAACGATGCTGAGCAGCTGACGGCCATTTCGGGCTCGATGAACGGCGCCGGCCCGACCGCCAGAAAACAGCACAGAAAGTAACACTAGAGAGTGGGAGGACCGCGAGAAGGACGGGAGAGAGGACTGCGCAAGGAAGTTCTCGCAGACTTCTCATGATTCTTCTGGATCAGGCGTCTGCCACTTACAACTAGCGATGCGACAGGTGGTGCAGGACGGTTGCAGCACCTTCCTGTCACATTATCTTGAGACCTGCACAACCATTGTGCCTGGCTCTCGAGTCTGTTGGAAGGCACACCATCAAGCTCCAGCAGTTTCCCGAGCTCCAGGTCAGTCTCAGGCCATGACGGGATCACGAACGAGCTTTGTTGCATTGATGTGCCCTGCTTCCCCCTCAAATGATACGTACAGTAACACATTTTATCAGTCAGTCTCTCTGGTGCAGGATTCCAGGCGTGATTTGATCAAGGCCGTGTTCAAGACATTGGACAGAACAAGCAAGGGCCATCTCACGGCCGCGGACATGCGGCCGTTCGCAGAGCAGACTGGCTTCAGCGGCAGCGACCACGAGTGGCAGGAGGAATTTGCATTGCTTTGCCGAGACCGGGGAAGTGCGAAAGGGATTAAATTGGAAGAGTTTGTACAGCTGGTAAATGACTCCTCTGACGAGGGCTGCTACTGCTCAGACAGCGAGCTGCGAGCACTGCTGCAGCAGCAGCAGCAGCAGCAGCAGCAGCAGCAGCAGCAGCAGCAGCAGCAACAGCAGCCACCGCCCAGCACAACTCCAGCCAAAGCTGCTCCGGTTGCTGCAAAGGCCGCTGCAGCCGGCGTGGCAC